GTCTCTGTGAATGTTTTTCTTTCTGTCTTATTTTGATGATCACTTGAGAAATTCAAATCTCGAATCAACACGTTAACCGGCTGGTTTGTATGATCATTTGTCTTGTGTTTCACAGTTTTCTTAGTCTGTTTATGTCATCTATAAAAGAAAAGGATGTGATCTTATTTTAGGTATGGACTAATAATCCACAATAAAACAGGAGATGGCCCATCTTGCATTCATTTTAATAAAATAATATCCTTAGTAATTATTGTTATATACAACTGGGAAGTGCTGAAAAATGTGACTTTATTATAAATAATGCAAGGCCTTATTGCCCCTAAGGTTTTTCCATAATAATTTCATGTTCCTGATTTTAAATGTGTGTCTTGTTTTAATGTATTAAGGAGGTTTGTACCATTTGCAAGTCTCATCTAAACATTTGCTGATTATAATCCGGTTCATGTCTGACGGGGCTCAGTCGCGTCTCAGGTGGATATTTTACCAGACTTTAATCTTGTAGTCATATCTGAGCTCATGAGATGATGTTTAGTTTCTTTTTTTTTTTTTGAGCAGAAATAAAATGTAACTCACCAACTTTTGTAGAAGTTTCAAAAAGCAGATGTTTATTGTATAGTTTCAAAAGTTTAAAAATGTGGTGCTGACTTCCATGACGAGGGAGGGATCATGACTCATTAATGATATATCAACAATCACAAGCCTGTTTCTGTGACATTTGGGTCACCATGAGGTCGCTGACACATAAATATTTGCTCATGAATGACTTCACTATCTCCTACACTGCCTGGAAATAAAAGGTCGAGACCTGTGATATTTTTACTCTGGCCGGTCACATAGTATCTGTCGTGGACTCTCAGCCACTCACTGTTATCATGGTGTTTCTCTATTTCAGGCTCTTATAAATATATATATATATAAATCCTGTTATCCCACACATAGCAGGCAGAAAGCCGCCTCCTCTCAGCAGTCTGACACCTATTTATCAGATGATTCAGGGTTTTCACACACAAACACTTCGCTCAGTAACTGGAGGATGTTTGTTTACTGCCAAAATAAACTCCTCCTGTGTGATTCAACAACAAAAGATTTGCTTCTCTCTCATTATTAGTCAAGAGAATATTATGTAACATGATGAATGGAAAGACCAGAAGTTTATCTAAAGGTCCTCTTCCTAACATAAATCTATTTTTATAAGATTATTAATTATAATGGTAGTTTTTTTTAATAAAATCACTGACACTTATAAAAATATATTGCACCTATTAGTCTTTGTCACTTTCACCTCAAGTCTGATTTCCTTTCTCTTATTTTAAACAAGTTTTGGACACTTTCAGTAAGTTGTGATGCACATGATCTGAGATTCACATTGTTTGCTTCACTGGGATTAAATCAGTAACAAAGAACAGAGGACACATTTAGTGACAAATAAAAGAAAATACTCGTCTACCTGGTGTCATGTACAGAAACATTTACAGTACTCAGGGTGAACTTTGGAACGTTCAGATAGGATTTACTTTTCTTATCAATAAATACGACCTGGACGATCTGCAGCAGCCAATCAGCTCTGACAGCAGCAGTTTTATGTAGCAGACAGGACCTTTTCCACTGAATCACACAGAACTGTATATTATGTTTGTCCATCATAAACTGACATCTTGTTATCAGCAGAATCACCATATGCCTTGGTGTCAGACGGGGATAATATTCAATCATTCATCGTCCTCTCCTTGTGAAGGACAAGTGCCTCTTCTCTCTGGTTTGAAATGGTTGCCGAAAAAGTTATTAAAGAAGTTAATAGTTTGATTGTGGTGATAATGTAATCTGCTTTTATTGCTGTGTTTATGTGCAACTAGAAGGTCTGACGCCTACGGCTTTGTTTTAACCCCCTTTCTCCTGTTTCCACCTAAATTAAAAAACCTCTATTTTATGCTTAATAACTTCTCATGTAATCATCACAGAACCACAGTCCATGGCTTAAAGACAAGACATTTGTACCATTAAATGTATGAACATCAATTACTTAATTCATTAATGTCAATGAACACATAGGACATTGAATACACAATTTGCTTTGAAAAAAGTTACACTTTTTTGTTTGTTTTACAGTGAACCTACTAAAATATGAATTATAAAACTCTTCAATTTTACATTTTTTGGTTCCCAAACTTCTTGGCCATAAGTGTAGGAAATTTCAGGTTGATATTTAAAAGTACTAATGTTTCACATGGCAATTAATCATTGGGATTCTTTTGTGTGTCTGAAACCTCTCCAAAATGGCTGATATCTGCTTTCCAATATTTCAAGAAATATTTTTTTCTTATAATTAATAATAATCTAATATTTTTTTTTTGCTCTCCTGGAGCTAATGACAAACATATTTCGCATATTTCTTAGGTTTAAAACACCAACCATGATCTGGGACATTCCCAGGTTTCATGTGGCCGGGGACCTTTGTTGCATGTCGTTTCTCTCTTGCTATAGATATACTGAGTGGGCTCTCAGGACACATAAGGTCAATCAAACTTCCAAGAGATTCAAAATGACAACAAGAAACTAAATGACAACAAAGAGACAAAAATAGAAAGATTTAGAATTATGCTAAATGACTACACTATGCAAAATGCACAACACAAAGCTGGCTCTCATATATCAAATCCCACCTCCTCACCCCCATAAAATCTTGCTTTTTGAGGTAATTTCCTCCAAGTGTGTCGGATTACGTTTTCACAATAAACAAACCACACCACAGTCCTGCTGAACAGAGAACAGAGTCTTGCATTTTCAGGCGTTTTTTTTTTTTTGAGTGGTTGTTTGGTGTCAGAGGAATTTGAACAGGATAACTCTCAGTCGGCAAAATGAACCAAACTAAAGGAGAAAAGCCTGTGGAGTGGAAATAAACAGATAAACATGCTTCTAGACACCCAAAAAGCCTGAGATTACACATCAGATAGACTGTACAAAACATTGCTGCAAATATGGCTGCATTAAATGATAAATGGTGAATATATGTTTATTAGTCATAACCTGCTGTCTGTATCACAGGTGAGATTTTTGTATGGATTTGTGTGGGCGTTTTATTATTTGGCAGGCAAGAGAAAATCACCCAGAAAGCTTTGCAGTCGCTTAAGTCAAGCTTTCAGTGAGAGTACCGCCATAATTATGGGTCTAATCAAAATCCAAAGATAGCATCAAAGGGAACTCTGTGGTGTATGTGTGTGTGTGTGTGTGTGTGTGTGTGTGTGTGTGTGTGTGTGTGTGTGTGTGTGTGTGTGTGTGTGTGTGTGTGTGTGTGTGTGTGTATGTGTGTGTGTGTGGAGGATATGACCGCATTATCAGTCCAGTATTTACAGTTTCTACCATGTGAAATTCAACATGCTCGGTCAGTATGTTTCCTTTGCTGCAAAATCACCATAACAGTCCATGTTTATCTGATCAAAGTGAGTCCTGTAAATATTCCACTAATTTCAGTTGCAGTTAAAATTGCGTAATAAGATTCACTGGAGAGAAAAGCGTTTTTAGGGTGTGTGTGTTATAGTGTGTGTGTGTGTGTGTGTGTGTGTGTGTGTGTGTGTGTGTGTGTGTGTGTGTGTGTGTGTGTGTGTGTGTGTGTTATAGTGTGTGTGTGGGGAGAATCTTATCTTTGTCGTCATGCTTGAACAGGAGACTCCCAAAGCATTGTGCCCTCCTCAAGTCAGGCAACATGTTCTGTAATGAGAGTGAATAAGACTTATGAACATAAACAGAGTCAGATCAAGCTGAAAGTAAAGATGCAAAAGTGGGAACTGTCAGATGTCAGAAAAGAAGATTGGTACCACTCTCATATTTGTATGTTAGGTATGGAGCTAGAGCTACCAGGTGATCAGCTTAGCTTAGCATAAATTGAAAGCTAAGGGGATACAACTAGCCTGACTCTATCCCAGTTTTAAAAAATCAGCCTACCAGTTCCTCTAAAGCTCACTTATTAACACATTTTATCTTGTTTGTTTAACCTGTTCACTAACAGGCATGTAAAAATGATCACTTTGATGTTTTGAAGGTGTTATTGACTGTTAGCTTGGGTAATCGTAGCTTAGCAAAAAGTCACCGAGATGTTTTCAACCAAGGAGCAAAATGATAGCTTAATTAGCTAGCTAAGAAAATGATAAACTTGCTTTTTTCCATCACTGTCTAAAACCAAGGACTTATGCAATTGTTTGAAAAATAACTCATGATTTCAAGTAGTAAATTTGCCACCATTATTGTTGTAACGGAATGCTAGACAAACATAGCAACAGTAACCAAAGGGGAGGGACTTCTGTACCACCGGTTGCCTGGCAACTCACTATGACAAGACTCAATATCAGTATGGTCAAGAGACAGTTAGGCCACAGTGTCGTATTTCCACAGTATAAACAAGTGGTTGTTTGTTTTTTTAATAATTCAATTTCACGATTAACTGAACTGAACTTTCGAATCCAAACAAACAGTGCAAGCTAATTTGAGCAGAAAAAGGCGTTTTACACACAGTACACTGTGTTTAGTTGAAAAATTTCCAGTATTAACAACATTCAGGCTATCAACAACGATCTTAGTGAGTGTGCAGCACAAAATAAAACATATATAATTTAGTGCATAGTTCCTGTTTTTAAAAAAATTCAAATTTTGGCGCCTCCCAGTGGTAATATAAAAAACAGCAGATGAAAGGGCTGAAAAATATTCATCAGGATAAATTTTTACTTAAATAAAAACAAATAAAAAAGTCATGACATTTTTAAATTAACATTTTTCCTATAGGGGCTTTATTTTTACTGTCTTTACTGACTGTTTTTATCTTAATCAATCCTCTATCTCAATTACCCTACCAATACAATAGTTATTGCCATGATCTCATAAAATATTCCTCTAAGCCGTTTTGTGATCCTTCCCTCCAGTTGTGTTTGGGGGTGGGTCCTGCTGGTGGGACTGGCCTCGTGACGTGCCTCTGTTGACAGTAGTAAAGGCTCCACACACACACTCCCACAGACATCGGCTATACCGCCTCACACACTCTCGCACTCCCCGCCGAGCTGTCAGTGAGCCACCGCCGCTCCACGCTTCTCTATCTGCGCGTCCTCTGCGCACAGCGGTGCCACCTTCTGCTCTGCTCTGTGCACATCTCACCCGCTCCGGAGCTGCGACCAGGGCTGAAGCTGAACTTTTGTTCTGAAACAAGGAAATAGCAATATGGCTTCTAAATCGATGGAGTTTCTGAAGCTGTCGGAGGAACAGATCAAAGTGCTGGAGGACAGTTTCAAAGGCTGCAAGCATCCGGACGGGACGACGCTCATGTTGGTCGCTGCGGAGTGCGGACTGTCAGAGGAGGACACACTAGTGAGTGGAAACCTCATATTTTAATTCTCCCTCCCTCTCCCCCCCTCCCACTCTCTAAAGATTGTGTGTGATCAGGAATTGGGTGATAATGTGAGGAATGAAGTTTTCCTGGTCCTGGTTGTTGTTTGTTGCACATTTGTTTGCCCTGAACAAACAGGATATTCAGAGTTTCTAGAAATAATGAAATAATTTAATTGAACATCCTAGTCTAATGTAGATCACTAGCTATAATATATGGAGAGTGATGCTCAAAAGTAAGATTATTTAATGATAAATTGTGATTTAAGCATGTTAGTGATCATTTTATATTTGTTTCTGATTCTCTGAGGTATTTCTTGAATAGCCCAATAGAGACTTATAGTTTTCCCATGATATTTGTACAATATCAGTTATTTCCATAAGAGCAGTGAGGCTCCAGTCTGTCTGCAGGGACATGTTTCCTATAGAAAAATGTATTGACTGGTTTTCCCAGTGCTGGAAGATGTTTTTAGTAATAAGACATACTGATAGCACAATGTAACAAAACTCCCAGTAAAAGTCCAGTGTTCAAAATTATTACATATGTAAGTATTCCAATTACACTTTACTATGATGATTAAAGGCAGGGTAACCAACCAGTGTAATTTTTCTTGCATTTCCATTTTGTGGCTGGTCCGGTTGATAATAAGAGTAAATATTATATATGCATGGGGAGTTTGATCTTAAGCAATACATAATGTTTTGTGTCTTTACAGTGGAGCACAAATATTGCCCAAAACACTTGAGAAAAGTACCTAAAAACTGCACTTAACTACAGTAGCTTAGTAAATGTACTTAGTTACTTTACTTCTGTGCAGTTATCACAGGTTTTACTTCAGTTTCCAGCCATGACTTTAAAAGAACACAAGAGCTCGACTCAGAAAACTTCACTTTATGCTATCACAGCTTAGTGTAAAGAGAGTTAACAAGTCATGAGGGTTATTGGTGTCACTATTGGTGTCTCTGTCAGGTGACTTCTGAGGAAAGAACCTGAGACTGAACATGAAAAAAAAAGGACTTTTAATCTGAAATGTCAAACCTGGAGCCGCTCCACTGACAGTGAATGGAGCAGGTTTGTGGACAGTGACAGGAGCTCAGGGTGATTTTGGTCAGTGTTTCTGTCACAGTGTGATGAAATAATCCTCATATGAGTGCAAACAAACTCTGATCACAAGGCAGCGCCTCATTGATCGTCAGTGGAGCAGCTCCAGGTTTTTTTTTTTTTCATGATGAAGTCACGTCAGAGTCAGGTTTCCTGCTGCTGCTTTTTCAGCTCTGAAAACGACTCTTGTTCATTCTAACAAGCAGTGATTCATCTGTTCAGGGTGACTTCAAGTTTAAAGAAGTCATATGTTTGGATGTGGGAAACTCATATGCAACACAAATTTTTAATTTAGCCTGTAGTTCAAACGATTATTTGATATGATACAATAAAAAAAATATATAAACTCAGGTTTTAGAAATTGTATTGAACATATTTCATTTTTTACCAAACAAGTCGATTGAATGAGAAAATAAAAAACAGATTAATGAGCATTGAAAATAAATAGTTGCAGCACTTTATGTTACAAATATTGATACAGAAACAGATATAAAAATTATCCTAAACAGCCAAACTCTGAAGTTTGAGTGTGAAAGTTCATTCTTGACCTTGTGAACAGGATTTTAACAAAATAACCTTAACTCGACTAAAGTCGACTGATCAACCACGTCTTCATCAGCGGAAGAAGTTATTTAGCATGAAGTTGTATTGTGAGTTTTGACCTGGCTCATAGAATGGTAAAAAGCGTTTATCATTCTATGAGCATTTGTCCCTGGTATTTATACAGTACAGTAACTTTTATCAAACTGTAGACAGACATTCAACGTCTGACATTAAGAAATATTAGAAAACAAATAATAAATAATATGAACAAACACTCAGTATTTTGTTTTTCAGGAACAGACAAGGTGTCTCATACACCCAAAAAGAAATCCCATCACACAAGACACCAGTTCAGGATGTAAATATCAATGAAAACAAATAAACATACTAAGAATGTCCACATTCTATTAGGCAGTGCTATCTACCAGCTTACTGCGATTTTTCTCATTGGCGATGACCTGACAGAAAATAGCCAGACTAAGTGGAGTAAGATATAAGGATGTTGTTACAGTCAGTGATTGAATTAGAAAAACTGTCACTGTCAATTATAAAAAAAAAAGCATCACATTATAACTTAGTTATTCAGTCTCTACCACCCCCCTCTCCTGCATGTCAGCACTCCCACCATCCGTCTATCTGAGGAATGTCTTTGGCCTACTGTAAAGGCTGTGCAACTGTCACATCAGGAGCCAGATGTGAAGCTTCAGAGCACCGATAACAACAAGTGAAGTTATGCAGGCACCTCCAGTAGCATTCCTCTGATAGATAGGTCATTGTAGATGCACTCTAAAAATTAGTTTAAGTTTGCAAAAGCAAAGGATGGATGTCTTATTTTAGAATAAAAACAGTCAGATGTTATTCCTGTTTGCCTGTTGGATTTGCCAGGCAAACAACATGACTACGTTACGCACTATATACTTAGCTGTACACACTGGGAGGTAAAGGCCTACATGTAAATTCTGTCCTTTGAGGCGACGTAACATTGGGTTCATTTCATAGGCAAATTTCTGCTGGTCTTTGTGTTATTGAGCAGACAGACACGTTGAGGCTGGTGGAGAGAGACAGAGCTCTCACATGGCATGGAACATGTGTCCTTTTCATAATTAGCTCTCCCAGTACAAACATTTCACCAATCAATGACTTTGTGCGTCAGACACATGTTTTGTGTCACTGGTTTTTCCACTTTGACTCCACAAACCGGTTCCTCTGGATTTCTCAGGGCACAAAAAAATCTGCAACACATTTTGTCCTGATTTGTAAACAGCTGCTTCAAGGAGTTTCTACTTATTTAGAAAGAAAAGTCACATGAATAATTATATAATACAAGAGTTATACAGTTATAGCATCTTCTACACTTGTGTTACAATAGCACCACAGCAGCAGCAGCAGCTTCAGTCAATCAGTCAGATAATTAATCTGCAACTATTTTGATAATTAAGTAAAGGTTTAAATCTGTTTTCAAGCAGTAATGCCAAACATACAGTCGCTCCAACTTCTTAATTATGAAAAATTTCTGGATTTTCTTGTTGTAAAATTATTGTAAAATTGAATATCTTTGTGTTGACAAAACAAGATATTACATAATGCACCTTGAGCTGAAGGAAATTGCAAAAAGACGTTTCTTGGTGCTTCATAGACCAAGCAATTAATCGATTACTCAAGAAAATATTCTGAAAATTAATCGGTAAAAATAATCTGTTGCAATCCTGCTGTAGTTACATATGTTGGAAGAATATACATGAATCCTAAAAATATTCTTTAGGTTGGCCGACATAGACAGCTGCACTGATTTAAATCAGTTACGTTGGATGTATGTAAGGATGACGACTCCTGTGTAGGGACCTACATGAATTTACGCAGAAAAGGGGGTTATGGGTAACCGTAGGTCGCAGAGGCTTGCGGATTCGCTGTCACACATAGATCCCAAATCTCAATGAATGCATTGTGCAGATGCGCATGTGAAACAAGCTTATTATTTAAGTTAGCCGACGCTAGCAGTCTAGTGGCTATCTTTATTCTGGTAGTTGTGTGCAGATTTACGGCCTGTGTTTTGTCCCGGCAACAAGCCTCCCAGCGACTGTCAGGATGTATCCCTCAGTGGAAATGCAAACAACAAGAAAAGATTGTAACTTTGAAGGATACCCACTTGATTTAGATAACTGCTACTAACTACTATTACTGCCAAGCAGCATCTTCAGCCTGTCATTACTATGACAGCAGAAGTGTTTTATTATTTAGCTCTGCCCACCGATGGTTTATATTCAGCTTTTTCTGCCTCAAGAGAGAAAATGTTTGTTTTTTTAAACTAAAACTGCAGCAACCGCTTCCCAGTTCCTCCTCTGGTGTTAGTGACTGTTACTATTCATTTTGCACACAATGAATGGGAGGTGGGAGAAACCAGGGCCAACGTGACAGGGAAACCTGGTCCAGCCAGAGTGAGGTAAAGGTCTGGCCCCTCTTCAAAGGACCTCACTTCATTCCCAGCTGATGTTTTTTTCAGGCTTTCTTTTTTCTCTCTGCCGCTCACCTCCTGTTTTTGAATTTATTAACAAAGCTCTCATTGGAGAACGTTTAGCTGAAGAAACACACCCCTGCTACCACTCCCTGTTTCACATTAACAGCATTTACAATGTGCTTCAGCTTCTGTGCAGCATGTTCAAGCTCCTTTCACACATTTTATTTGTTTTCAGTGCAGCAGAGTCAAAAGGTAGAGTCAAGTTTGAAAGACCATGTTATGTAATGCAGTGTTAGTCAGTGGGAAAACATGACACAAGCACTATTGTATGGGTCAGCAGGATTATAAATCCTGACATTATTGTTCAGAAATGGCATGTGTGTAATGCTTTTACAAGACATTTAAAGATCTTTTGAACTTTGAGAGAGGGCCAGAAACAATACAAAGTACAAAACCATTCACTTGCATTCAAAACCTGGAAGAGAAAATGACATTTTTAAAGGCTAAACCTCTAAAGACCGGATCTTTAGTTGAGTTGACAATAGTACTTTTTCCCTAAAATTGATGTCTGCGTGAAATCCTGAAAAACAGAAAGCAGCATGAACAATGAAGTTCCGAGACTAGTTCTTAAACTGATTTAGTTTTCTGCATTTTTTTTAAGAGCAAACCCAGACAACTCCAAATGGGAATCTCATATGTTGTAAGTGCAGAATGTGGAAACCGTTCCTCCTGCCAGGCGCATGCCTCACACGTCCAGTCAGGCTCGTGGGTCTTGAAGCTGGAGAGCCGAATCCCTCCCTTTCCACTTATCGAGATGATGTCATCGTTGTTGTGGATCCCTTGGCAACGTGAACAGTGAAAACAGCGATGCGGCGAGTCACGGGTGTGTGTCATAGCACTCAGTGCAGTCGTCATCTGGTCAGAGTTTGAGTGTGGCAGTCATTAGCTGAGTGGTCAGAGTGCAGACAGGGAAATGGATCCAGAGAAACAGCATTTTCTGTTAACATTGGATGGAAACGTTCGTTTTCTGTGGTTGTCCTGACACAGCTTAACCTCAGGGTCACTGCTGTGTCTACATGAGTCAGCCACCACATTTACATGCACCAAGAAATGTAACTGTAATGTGATTATGAAGATAATGAGAGTCAGAAAGGAAAATAGCTGCAATTTGTTTCTCTCAGTGAATCACAGTGCCCATATTTAGGGTGTCTGTACTGATGATTGTACTCTGGTGACAGAAATAACACAAAAAAGTTAAAACTTAGAACAGATGGGGATATCCATCTGCAACACAGCCCATCCTGAAACTTTATAATTTAATCCCTACGAAAACTTTAATTCTGCATTAAGTTACTGTTTTCGATGACCAAACTTAACCCTCAGCCGTCCTGTAAATCTTTTTTGTCACATTCTGTCACGTGTGTTTGGGTCATACTCAAATAGTGTAATGTTACATGCTAAACATTAGCGTGTTAACGTGTAGACACATTAGTGCCAGTGCTATTGACAACATTACATTTACTGTGCTGTGATGTAGCATGGTAAAATGCTAACGGACAATGTCAGTGTATGTTAAATTGAATAGCTTTGAACATGGATGTTTACATGCTAATGTTAGCAAGCTAAAAAGTAAAATGTTAATTGCCAGATGTCAGCAAATTCAAAAGCTGTAACATATCAACATTAGCATGCTAAAAGGCTAAATGTATTTATCCATCTATCAAGCAGATGTCATGGCAGCTTTATACTCTTGTAGTGATATTATGAAGACTACACCAACATGTTCTGTGCAGTGACAACTCCAATTGACACCAGTCAAAATATTATGCATGCACTTTATCCCATGTTGTTTGTTGCTTGAATGCTCACAACAACCACAGCACATGTAAACAGCGCCGTTAGGTTTCCTATTTAAGAGTCATATAGAGAGAGCTAAGTTGCTAGAGGCGGTTGGGCTAATCTATTGTCCACATGTAAATGTAGCCAGTGGCCTGGGGATGAGAAAAGTACAACAATGCATTTGGAGAACTCAGTGTTTTGTTCAAATCAGTCTTGACAATACCAGAACTCCACCTGTATAATTTCTCAGGAATATTCATGTCATGACTGCATTTTGTCAACCGGACCAGTTAGCTCATGGCTCTCATGTTTCAGGCACTGCAGCAGTTTGTGCCAAATGTGCATATGTGCCTTGTTCCTGCAACAAAAAAAAACCCCTGTTACCTGATTTTAACCCCTCCCTCGGGTGTTTGTCCTTTTTTCTTTTTGTTTATTTGTTTCCTCCAGAAATGGTTCAAGCTACGTAACGCACAGTGGCGGCAGGCGGAGGGTCTTCCAGCTGAACTGGGCTCGGTGCTGGACTGAGACTTCGCGACCACCTCCTGGATGCCCGGAGCTCTGTGCTGACCTTGTTTTCCCTGAACGAGCAGACCTCCCCACCTCTTCCTCGTACACTTCCCTCTCTGTGTGTCCATCTCTCTTTTTGTATCTATGAAGCTATTTGAACTTACAGAATGTGAAGGTGTTTGTGTTGTTGTTGCCAATTATAACCGCCATGTTTACAGAAATAAACATATTGTTATTATAAGTTAAACTGACTCGAGCGTGCTTTGCTTTGAGGCTACTCTACATCTGGGATCCAAATACACTGAGGAAGCCGAGTTATACAATGGTGGGATGTTCAAAAAATGGTGGGGGCGGTGATTTGGGGGGTTGTGCTTTTGTTTTCGGGCTTTGTTTACATGCATGTCCATCAGCAGGGAGCATGGCTGGACGCCAAGCTTTTCACAGGGCTATGAAAGATGTAAGGAAGCGCTGGGATTACAATAGATGCTGCTGGAATCTGCTGCCGCTACCCAGGAACGTCCAGAGACAAATCTGGAACATGTCCAGCAGTAGAGGGAGTGGGGGGGGGGGCATGTGAGCTGACTGAACTGAACTGAGTGGCATCATGGGCTATACAAATGGCAGGTGATGTCATTTCATTGTCCCTTTTTCCCTGTGACTGAGTTCTGTAAAAAGGACGTGATCTCACTAGCGAGTTAGAGAGGGTTCACTTCAAAGGATAAGGCTGGTAATAATTCTACATCTTTCTTTTTTCATCATCAACTTGTCCGCAGATCCACAAAAAGACTAATGAATTCTTCTAACAAGTATTGGGTGTGTGTTAAAACCCCAATATATCTTGTGTCACAGAGCTCCCACTGTTGTCCAGAAACTATTAAAAACACAAATTACTCAGCCTTATTTAAAATGAAACAATAAAATGAAACATTTCTGACTCAGAGAGTGCCAACACACAAACTAATGACAACAACAAAAATATTACCAGCTTTATCATTAAAAAAGGAGAAAAGATCTAAACACTTTATGGCCTTACAAGGCAGCTGTTTGTCATGCAGTTTTCAATTTCTATCTCTAGTATTTTTTTTATTATTTGGGTTGTTACCTCTGCCAGGGAGACTTGATGTTTTGTGTTAGACTTTTTTTTTTTAAATTGTCAACATCAGACTTAGGAAGTTTATAAAGGAGGTTTCCAAAGGGCATTCTTGAATATTTTTTCTATTTCCTTATAAATACTTCCTTGTAATACTGTTCCTGCTTGAATTGAGAAAAGGCGATATGTAAATATCACTTGGGTGTTTTGACACAGATCAGGAAACTGATTCATAAAATAATCAGATATTTTATTATATTAAAAATGATTAAATTTATAGGATTGTGTAGCATCAGCCGAGATGTGTCCTTTTGAGAAGATATCCTGAAATCCAAAGTTCATTCTTGACCTTGGAAACAGCAAAGTCAACCTGAAGTGAACAAACTGTCTTGTGTCATGGTGACACTAATGCACAGCGTTTATGTGACTAAATATGAATTGTGTAATATAATATAATATATAATATAATATAATATCTTAAAAATATCAAAAGGGTAATTAGAGTAGTGGGGTAAGTTAAGATGTTTGTTTCTGCACATGTTGCTGTAGAGGAATGAAAATATGTCCTGAAATCAGACAACCAGGTTGAAAAGATGGAGCAAGAAGAAGAGAGCGAGGAGAGATACAGTTGCTCACTTTCAGTATCCTGATCTCCCCGTTTGTGTGTGAAGAGACTGAAGAAGGTGGGAGAGAGAGAGAGAGAGAGAGGGGGAGAGAGAGGATGAGGTTTCCTGCCAAAGAGCCAGGAGTGAAAACGCTGTGATCGTGGGAACTGTCTGCACAACGAGCTCGACAGAAACCAACACCCACCCAACAGGTAGTTCAACTGCTCAGAAAAACACACTGCTGCGTTTTACAGGCTGCTGTCACACAGTGTTTACACTGGCATCAGCTGCACACACACATTCATAAAGCGTGAACACGTCACCACTAATATTCATGTTTACTGACATTTTCTTAATTTACTCCTAACTCTAATTTTAACAGTCAAACCTCCCTCGCTCACTCCCCCCTCCCCTCAGAGGATTTAAGTTTTTTTTCTCTATTTGTTTGTGAGGATATTTAATCCTCGTAAGAATAGAAATACAAAACACACATATGCACACACATTGTGGTGGTGTCGGTTTCCTGTGCCTGGGGTGTTTCCCTCTCTTCATCCGAGTGTGAAAAAGACTGACACCCACTAAAGAAACACACTGAAAACATACACTATTTTCCAGACCCTGCCCCTCCTGTTCGCTCATAAATCACCATTTAATACAGTTTGAATTGCTTGACACTTTAAACCGGTTAACTGTCATTTTATGGGCGATGTTGGAAGATGTTATTGCTTCATATAATATAAAAATGATCATGATGCTGTATATCTGCTGCAGCTGAAAGGGTGGTGGAATAATATCATCAATACCACATGATGAGCTTGTGAAACTTTATGACCTTCAGAACAGAAATTTCAACACAGTCCTATTTGCAGTTTTAGCCCTGGAGTGAAAAGACTCAGCAGAACTGTAGCTGTTGTTTTGTATAGTGATGTGTTTGCATGGTCTTGTCTCTGCACACACACAAACTCAGCACCAAGAAGGCAGAAAAATAAAACTAACGAGTAGCTGGTGAGCGAGCTGGAGCGTGCAGCAGCTAAAGAGCCAGATATTTTCCTCAAGATTTGATGGGGACCAAAACAGAGGCTAAAAGAGAGTGAATACTGGAGGATCAGTCACATGACTTCACATCAGGGATAATGTTGCTCCATAACTGCTTAAGGGTCACATTCACCATATCAACTTTATAACATGTCAGTGTTATTTTACAGCTTGTTTATTGTTATATTACTAAGCTCTATATTCTAATATATCAAGTTTTAATCTGATCCTTGGACAATAAAAAAGAAAAAGAAGACCGCCCATGCTCACCCACACAGCTTTCATTTTTATATTAATTATCAGAACTACAGTGTACAGTATATGGGAGGATAATAATACAACTTTGACAGAAGTATTATAATTTTAGTCATCAGTATTCAGACCTGAGACTTTGCAATTCGCTTGTGAAGACTTGTGACTTAATTGAGACTTGTCTTAAATGACTTAAAATATCTCTAGTGTCTCAGTTCAGTATCAGTTTCGATTATGAGCCAATAAAAATCATGGATTACTTCAATTTTTTAACAGGTAAAATAATAAGATGTAAATAAAAACATTGATTTAGTTTGTGGAAAGGCCAGAAAGATTAATATTTTATGTTTCAGCTGGTAACTTAACCAAAGTGACTTTACAGTTGAGGTAAGGGTGGAATAAACTTCACTTCATTAAAACTTAATATTACAGGCATTTAAAAGTGATCCAGTAAAGGGTCAGAGGTCACAGTGTCCTGGTGGTGTCACAGTGCATTGGTCACGTATGACAAACTGTGCCTCGGCTCTCTCTGGCTGTTTCTGGCCGTCTCCGAGTCACTGCAGTGAACGGATGATCTGAGCGTCTGATGCTTCGCCATAAGAGCTGATGAGCATGTGTGTAGAATTTGAATGGACTCTGGTTTTGTCTGTTGCTAAGAAAACTGTGCAGAGCTGCGAAGAATCTGTCATTTAGAAGCTGCCAGGCTGCAGCCTGCGTCATTCTCTGCAACCTGACTTTTTGTTCCACTTGATGTGACACCGACCTGATCGTTTCCTCACTGCCTTTATAACCAGCTGGGCAGAAATCTTCCGCTGGGGTTTCAGTTTCTGCACCTGTGACTGTTTATGTTTGTTTTTATAATATATTTTTTTTTACCATTTTTGAAGCTATTCTTTAACGCTGATTTTCAGTTTTGAGCTCTATAGCTTGTTCCCAAAATTTCAGCAGCATGTGCATGTCAGAGCTGAGGTGATAAGTTGATCGACTAAAACATTAATGCTTGGTAATTTTGATAATTTATTGATTGATTGATTGGGTGGACAAGACAAGTTGTAGTAAAGATTCCTATTTTCTTTTATTTTGACACTACTTTTCTCCTCTCTTCTCCTTTCCTCAGCACTGATTGGCTCTTTTCACCCTTTGTTCTCTCCTCATTTACTTGATTGAGTTCACCTGTTCACTTCCTATTTAAACCCAGCGCACCCTTTCACTCACTTTTTTTCCCTGATCATCACATGGGGCGGCAGTGCTGATGAAAACCCATGTGTGTTTTGGACACATTTGAGAAGTGATCATTGATAAGGGATCTTTATGGACATCAATCTCAACTGTTTTAGCAACCATCAAGTATCTAACCTGCACTTATCTGATTTAAAGTTTTCATTTCCTTTTCACTTACAGTAAAGGCCCAAACTCCTCTGTATGATGAAACACCTTTCACTAAACTCTGGGCCGTTTGCAGGTTTTGCAGAGGTTTTCAGAGAGTGCTGCTGCAGCCAGTGTCTCACCGCTCAGGGAATATTTACCAAAGAGGTTTTTGTTTGGAGAGAGTTCCTGTGACTCCACCCTGACACGGTTGTTTGTAGAGTTGCACCATGCAAATGAAAAACTGAAACCAGAGATAATTTTACTAATTTAACTAAGAGATGGATCATAACTGGGTTCTCTCTCTCGACTGCAGCCACTTTATAAGAGCAGGTTTCAGGTTCCTAATCACTGCACTGTCAAATATTAGTTATATACTGTAAATTAGGTGTAAAGCAGGAGGTTATGAAATTAAAAACAACTACATATAAACCTCTACATTGAACTAAATACCCTAAGTGAAGACTGGCAGAGCGCTGACTGTCTGCCAGCGCAGGACGATGACATGAAAGGTCTTGCTTTAACTACATGACTTCCTGTGTTTAGCAGAAGGTGTGGGCTGACTGCACACAACATCCTGTGCGAGGCTGTGTGAACAATGTGACAATGAGGGAAAAAAAACACACAACACACAGTCACACTGAATTTAAGATAAGCACTGGACGTACAGACAGACATTGTCATGATGCTCCGTACTGTAACTTATCTTTTATATACAGGGGTGTGAACACAGTAAAAGCAACTTCCGGAAAATGCAATAAAACGATCCTGCAATAAACACTTGCTGGGGCTGCACATAATTATATTCTTGATCAGTGTATCCACTATATTTTCAGTTGATCACCTCTCAGTGTCTCAGAATGGTAAAAATTT